CCCCTGGCATAGGAGACTATCAGATCTCTTTCATTCATTTAAAAACATTGAAATGAATTCTTGTTTTGAAAATCCTCTGTATGTGCCTAAGTCCACAAGCACGTCATTAACAAGAACATACTCCAGTGAGGTCCCAGGGGAATGGGTATGAGGTGGTGTGAGAGACTTCCACACATTTTTTAGTCAAACCTAGTGTGGCAGAACTTTCTGTAAAGCCAGACTCCCTTAAGGTGTCAGCTGCCCATGGCCCTGGTCTCTAGACTAGCATAAAATCTGTAGATCCACAAATCCTCCATATTCCCATGTCCCTCTGCCAGGACGGTCCTTGCCCTCCTCATTTCCAATCCAAGCCTCCGGTCCTGCATCCCCTCCTCTGGTAGTGTTCCTGCCTGTGTCTCTTGGGACCCTCAGCTACAGTTTTCATCAGCTGCTCTCACAGTCTGCCTAAGATAGGTTTTTCCCTTCCAGAGAGGGCTCCCCTGGGGCTAGGGCGGATGGTCCAGTGGTAGAGCCTGCCTAGCGTCCTGGGTTGGATCCCCGACACCACCAAAACGTTAAAAGAGAGAGTGTGTGACAGGTAAATCCTGTGGCTTCTTAATTTATTCATAATATTAATAAGAGGGCTGCCAACAGTGTGGCATACACCTTTACATCTTTAATCCCAGAGACAGATGCAGATGGATTTCTGTGAGTTTGAAGCCAGATTGGTCTATACAGTGAGTTCTAGGCGAGCCAGGGCTACATAGTGAGATCTTGTTTAAAAACAAAAGACAAAAAATGAAGGTTGAATATGTAGCTCAGTGTCAGAATACTTGCCTAGTATGCATGAGGCCTAGGTTCCAGCCCTACTGTCAGAAACGTTCATAATGCAGAGGCCAGGGAGATACACAAGGCCCTGTGTTTGATCCCCCAACCACCACATAAACCTGGCATGAAAGTGCATGCCTAAAATTCCAACAGCCAGGAAGTTAAGGAGTTTTCAGTCCTGGGTGCACACCTAGCATGGTGGGGCACACCTATTTGGGAGGTAGAGCCAGGAGGCCAAGGAGCGCATGGTCATCCTTGGTTTCATAGTGAATTCAAGCCAACCTGGGCAGCTTGAAATCCTATCTCAATGAAAACAACCACAAACTACCAGCGGCAGGAAGGGACATAAATCAAATCTACATCCACCCAAGAAATAAATGAGCACTGGGATACCTAGAAGCCTATTGAACAAGTCACTGGCTAGTCTCTAAGTGGCTGAAAAGAAGGTAGGAGGGGAGCGTAGAACTCACTTAGACTAGAGTTTCTAGGTAAGGCTCTGTTTGCAGATGTTGAAAAGGCAGGAACTAGCCAAGCCAAGTGGCCTGAGCTTCTGATCCTAGCTCCTGGGAGAGAGGTAGGAGGATCAGGAGTTAGAGGCCAGACTGCGGCTACTTAGTGAAATTATGTCTCAAAACATGGAAAAATAAAAAAGGAAGGAAGGTTGTCTAGAATTCTGTACCCAGATACAACACTCTAGTTATGTGGTAAGAACTGGTAACAAGAGAGTGACTCTTCCCAAAGCCCAATGTCTACGAGGACTGGGAGGAACAGGGTGAGGTTTCTGGACCGATTCCTCCATCCCTACCCCCACACTCAGGGTCAAAGGCCTTCCTAGAGTGAGACCCTGACTCCAGGGTCTGGTGAATGAGTGGGAGTAGCTTGACAGAGCCAGCTCTGAGGAAAGGGACACCCTGTTGAACGAGGCAAAAGCAAAGCTGGGATCCTTTCAATGGCTCCAGGCTGGAATGACCTGCAGAGAGCTCTTTGCTGGCTGAGGCCCAAAGAAAGCCGAACTGACTGAGAGCAGCCTGCAACCACTGGAGTTTTCTTTCATGGGAGAAGCTGAGGAAGCCCAGGCTGGGTGGTCAGGACATGAGCAGGACAGAGGGAGGGAGATACCCAGAAGCGTCATGGGTTTCCTCCAGGCAGTAGCTGTCTAAGGTTCAGGGGCTCCTGGGGCAGTGTGTGTGGGACAGATGTAAGGGACAGACTGTGACTGGTTACATGTGGGATTGCTTACAGGACATTCAAAGAGAAAGGCCTTGGACTGTGTTAAACAATAGATCTGGGGCCTGTGAGAAAAGTGAGAAGATCTATGGGAGATGTTTGCACCCAAGAGGTTATCTATACTTATTCTTTCTCTTTGAAAGAGTCTGGCTATGTAGTCTTGACTGGCCTCACAGAATTTCAACTACCTTTGCCCCCCAAGTGCTGTGATGAAGACACTCAGAGGGAGCACGTTTTAGCTAACCCCCATGATCCCGTCAGGTGGTATCATTAGGCCTTCAGTACATACAGGTAAGGAAACTGAGGGGATGACTGACTTAAATCCACACAGCTCTGAGTGTGACAGAGCTAGGAATCAAGGACGTGTCTGTCTTCAACTCTAGGTCCATCCCACCTCCCTTGCTCCATTCTAATGGCTGATAACTCAATTTCCCTCCTTAGCCCTTAGGAGACATACAAGAAACTGCCCAGGTGTGGGTGGCACTGAGGGCATGGTGGCTGAACGAGGAGAGAGCTGGAGCCAGTGTGCAAGGCTGTGAGTGGCACTGTAGTCAACCAGGGGTCATGGCCTGAAAGCCATGGCCTGTTATCTTGGGAAGCCTTACATCTTGGGAAGAGCCCATTTCGAGAAGGGCTGATAGTGGTGTTATGATGGATACTAAGGTATTTCCCTGTTGGTCAGCAGGAAGGAGAGCTGGCAAAGGGTAGTGTGGCTTTGAAGATCTGTGAAAGAGAGAGAGAGAGAGAGAGAGAGCGAGAGCGAGAGCGAGAGAGCAAGAGAGAGCAAGAGAGAGAGAGAGCGAGAGAGAGCGTGAGAGCAAGAGAGAGAGAGAGAGCAGCTGTGGCTAAAGGCTGAAGCACTGAGTGAAAGTGGTGGGTGGTACAGTTTGAGCAGGAACTGTCTCCCCAAAGGGCTCATGTGGTAAAGCATGGTCCCCACTTGGTGGCAGTATAGAGAAGCCATTAGACCAAGAACGTGCCAACAATCCACTGCAAACTGAACAACATACAAGTTGGCGAAGAGTTCAGAACTGTGAGTGAACGGATGCTGTAGCCAAGAAGGACTCCAAAGGACTTAGAATCAGGACGCTCAGGGCAGGGGAGATGGTTCAGTGGGTGGAGGCGCTTGCTGCCAAACCTCATGGCCTAAGTTTGATCCCGGGACCCACGTGATAGGAGAAGTGGTTTCCACAACTGTTCCTCTGATCACACAAATGCTCTGGCATTCATGAGTGCACATGCATACAATGAATAAATGCATGAACAAATATATAATAAATTAAAAAAAAAAATCAGGATCCCCTGAAAGTGATGGATTCCCTGTCAGGAAGTTTCAAGTTGAGAACAGCTCATTTCAGGGAGACTAGGTATCACTGTTAGAAGAATAGGTTAGAAGAATAGTAGGCACAGTCTTGGGTCTCTGGTCTCTGTTTTTCTCGTGTGTGTGCGCGCACGTGTGTGTGTGTGTGTGTGTGTGTGTGTGTGTGTATGTGTATGGTATGTCCATGTGTTCGGTGTATGTTTGTGTCTGTGTGTATGGCATGTCTGTGTGTGTGTGATGTGTGTGTGTCTATGAATGTGTATGGTATGGTGTGTCTGTGTGCATGTCTGTTTGTGAACTGGAACTGAGTGAGCCCAGGGCCTTGAACATGCTGAACACTGAGCTATATTCCCACCCCTATTGTATCAAGCTCTTGGCCTGTACCTTTCCATCTATCCTCCCCTCCACACCAGGGTAGGGACAGCCGAGCACACTCTACTGAGTGGAAACACTGAGACTGGGTGGGGAAGTGACTTGCCTAAGATCCTACAGCCCATTTGGATCTACCGGCCCCCAGACCTTATCCCCTAGGTTACTCCATGGTTCATTTAGCCTTGCCTGACTTTGTCCAGCTTCCTCTTGGCCCCTCTCTCACTCCAGCCTGAAGCTTCCTCCAGCCTCAGGTCTTTCTACAAGGCCAGCATGCTGGACCAACATTCCCGCCCCAGGCATCCTCACCGGTACCTTTTGCTTTTAATGGCAATTTAATGCAATGCCACTTTTTTTTTTCTGCTAGATATCCGAAGCTATATCTGGACACTGCTATGTTCCTAATGCCAGAAATATCTGGTATGCCTAGGGCCTGATACAAAAATAAAAAAACAAACAAACAAACACCAAGAGCCAGACCACTGGGAGCTCACCGGAATTTTTAGCCATTATGCTCTTGTGTGTGATTAAAAATGAAAGAAATTACCAGCCTAGGTTTGCTTTCTAACCTCAGTCCTGAGTATTCAAGCCCTACTTCCACTGGACTCTCCCTCAGGCCTGCCCTCCGGGACAGAAAGTAGGAATGACCTACGAGCAGCCCTGGCAAAGGCTCTCAGAGGCCTAGGGACCTTGGCTACCGCAGGGCACTCACTGTTCCTTGGCGATCTCCAGGTCCTTTCTGTGGCTCTGCAAGGCAGCCACCATCTGCCCCAGCTCAATCTGGGCGTTGCCTATGCAGCTGTACAAGTTCCCGACCAGTTCATCCTTGTTGGGTACCTCGTCTTGGTTCCATTCCAGAACCTTCTTAAGTACTTTCTCAGCTTTTTGAAGGCTCCCTTCAGCACTGCCACTGGTCAACACTGGGGAGAGAAGGAGTTGACAAGGTCAACTCCGTGTTGATGGGCTCCGTGTTGATGGGTTAACTCCTCCCAGATAATAATTTCCATCCACAGGTCAGCAGAGGCCGAGGCTCGGGCTCCGAGGCTCTGGCTATCGTGTTGCCTCTTCCCATCCCCCAACCCCGAGACTACTACCCACACATGTCAATGTCCTCTAGGCTCTTGAGGATGTAGTGGGCTGTCTGCGAGGGGCTGCGTTTCCGGTCCCTCAGCCACTTCTCTTGCATCAGCTTCCGGTCTCGCTCCCTGGCATAGATGGGCTTCTGCTGCCTCCAGAAGTTGCTGCGGGTGTCCAAGTAGTTGATGCCAGTCATGATGAGGTCCTCCACGGTCAGACCTTTCTTGATGGTGCCTTTGATGAGATCTGTGGAGAGTCATCAAGGAGATCACACATGTAGGGGAGTCACCCTTTCTAGGGTTGGAGAACTTGCTGTAGGGCCCTGTGAGGACCCCGCCTGCACTTGCCCCAGCAGTGAGGAAATGGAGAGTTTGGGGGTAGCGATGGACAGCCAGGTGGACGTTCTTGATACGAACCTTTTTTTGGCAAAATAGGAGGGACAAGAAGGGTCACTCGGATAACTTTCTGAGAAGCCTGTACTCAAGGGTTCCCTCCTTTCAAGCTGTGTCCTCAGGGAATAAAGAAGAGTCTGAATGCAAACCCTGGTCCACATTGCCAGGCCTCATCGGGCATCTAGGTGCCAGATGAGCTGGTGCATGCTGGGAGCTGTAGGGGTGTGGCTCCATCCTGTCTACTGTGTGGCCAGAGCTGGGGCCAATTGAAATGACGCAAGGCCACTTGGGATAAATGCTCAGGCCACTCCTGCCTTCCATGGCAGGCCCTCTAGAGACCAGGAAGCCTTCAGGCTTGTTACCATGGAGATGTGCCAACAGTAAAGTTGTGTGCCAAAACCCTGCAGAGAACCCTGAAGTTGACCTTAGAAAAACCAGTTCTGGGGAGAGGGTATTTGTGTCCACATTTGTCCCCTGTTCAGGTTTATCAGTTCAGAGCAATACCCCATGCCAGGTTAGTGGGAGGCCTATGTTTGAGGGTTCTGCCTGCACGGTGTGATGGAAAGTGTATCGGACTGGATTCTGTTGGTGACGCCACCACCGACTTGCTTGTCACCTTGGACGTTCAGGGAATTCTATTTCCTTGTCTATGAAATGAGGGATGGGCCAGATGATGTTTCAGAACATGTAGTCCTGACATGCTCAGATATCCCACCACCTGTCCGTCAGATTCTTTTACCCACCGTACAGACTACGGTGATGGTTGTGATTTGCCTCTTGAATGTCCCTCCCTTAACGGCCTCATGTGTTAAGGCTTGGTTCCTAGCCAGTGTACTACTGGAATATGGTAGAAGGACCTTTAGGAAGAGGAACCTATTGTCAGGAAGTTACACTGTCTGGGGCATGCCTTCCAGTGGTGGTGGTGGGGGCATGTATTAGAGTCTCTGCCCCTTCCTCTTTTGTTACTTCCTGGCCACCTCTGTCCTACTGGGTGCTCCTAATACAATGTTCTGCCTCACCAACAGGCCATGAAACAATAGAGTTACCTGAATACCTATGAAATCTCTGAAACTTTAAGCCAAAATAAATCTTTTTTTTTTTTTTGAAAGAGGGTCTCACTATAGCTCTGGCTGTCTTGGAACTTGCTACATCAACCAGGCTGGCCTTGAACTCACAGAGGCCCACCTGCCTCTGCCTCTGTCTCTGGTGGAGTGAAAGGTATAGGTCACTCTGTCAGATCAGCATCTCTCCTTCTTACAAGCTGATTAGCTCAGGTGTTCTGTCAGTGATGTAAAGTTGACAAAGGAGCCCACGTACTAAAAAGCGAGGACCCTGAATGTGGACTTCTTGGGTCCAGATATGAGCAGAAGCATGTTGCCTAGCCTCCTGTGACCTTAGTCGGGTGAGAACGCTATACAACCTTTCTACAGGTCTGGGTTGGCTGCATTCCGAGACAGGCTGTCCCTTATGCTCCCACCCACTGCCCTAGCCCTGCCAGCAACAGGTCTGACACCTTCATCCAGAAGAAGCTTCTCCAGATACTCCTTGTCCACATACAGCTCCCCGAGCAGCTGCCTGACGGTCTTCTCACTCTTGAGCGAGCCCTTCCGCTTGATTTCATGCTTGGTGTTGTATGAGAGGTGCTTTATAGGTAGATGCTTCTGTTGGGCTTTCTTACTCTGGAAAATGGAGGAACATTCAGGGGAGCCTCAGTAAGGAGCTCAGAGTGTGCAGTGTGGATGGAGAGTCTAAGACTTTGAATTCTCTGCTCCTACAAGACCCTCTGCGGACTGAGAACTATGACATATGCTTGGTTGGGTATAGCTGGATTCCCAGGATAACCTCTGGAGCTGCGGCAGAATCTCATGGTGGCCCATGATGGGCAGAGGTGAAATGTTCCCAGTGGAATGTTAGTAGGGGTTTGAAGGTACGAGTGGCCTCAGAACCAGGCACCTTACCTCAGCTTGCTTGCTTAAGAAGGAGAGGTCTCCTTTGTTCTCCAGCTTAATTGAAGAAGGACCTGGAGGACAGAGGCGGGGACTGAGCAGGGCCAAGCCTCCCGGGCATGACCGATCACATACTTTCATTTGGAAATGGCTGCCTTTGGCGAGGAGATGGCGAAGGCCTTGGCAAAGCTGGCATCAAGCCACCCTAATCCAGGAATGGTGCAGGTTGGTTGGTAAAACACTGTCCTAGACACTAGATGGCCCCCACTAGCCCAAGGCCATGCAGCAGCCAGATTTCCAAATACAGAGAGATCCCAGATGAAGGGAGACTCTGTCACATGCTATTTCCACACTTTGCTATCCACAGGGACAAGTCCTCACTCACCTCCTTCTTCCCTCTGCTGTGGAGTTGATGGGTAAAACTAACCCTCGGCACTTGTATGGTGAGGGAGGGGCCAGCCTCAGAAAGGCTGGACTCAGAACCCAACTCTAGTCTATATATGACTTCAGAAAGGACAACTTCAAAGCAGCCCACCTAGCATGTCTGGAAGGTCACTCCTCAGACAAAAGAGGACCTCAGCAACAGCCAAGTCTAAGTGTAAGACTCCCCGGTGGTGGTAGACGCTTGCACTCTGCACCCTTGACCCTCCCAAGCCTTCCTGGATAAAGTCACAGCCCTGTGCTCACTCACTTCCCACCGAGTTGTTGATGGCTTCCTGGGCTTTCTGAATTCCAACTTTGAATTCCCGGTCAGGTCTCAGTTTGTAGCCTCGATGATAGAACACCAGGGCAAACTCAAAGTCTCCCATGGTGTACAGTGTCTCTGCCTTCTGTAAGATCCCCTGGAATGAAAGACAGTCAAACCCAGATGGAGAGACGAGACCTTATAGGACTTGTATGGTAGAATGGAAGGGTCCCAGGTTGGAGGTCGAGGTTGGAATATGAGAGGCAGGGAGGCAGGCAAGCACTGAAGAGGAAAGGGCATCAGACACCAAGTGATCCAGCTGGTTCTTCAACTACCAGTAACCAGAGGCTGCTGTAATGGAAATGTCGAAAGCAAGACTGAGCCCTCCCATCCGGCAGTCACCTTGCAGAAAGTCGGGTCATTCTGAAGTGAGGCTTCAGCATCATTCAAGGATTTCTCTAAGTCTCCCATCTTCAGGTAGCACTTGGAGCGCGCAACCAGGCAGTTCTTATCTCCGCTTTGAAGGTGAAGAGCCTGCCAAAGGGAAGCACTCTGATGGGCAGATGCCGGGAAGAGTAAGGCGGTCGCCTCACCCGGAAGGGTGGCCCGCACCTACTGCAGTTTCGAGGGGACCCTCCAGGTCAGTACACAGACTCCTGCCTCTGAGTCTCATCAGATGCAAACAGCCCAACCCATTGGCTCATCGAACATGAACATCTCGATCTGTATGTATGTGGCTGATCTCAGAGAAGGCTCTATCTCGGTTACTGGGGAAGCCACTGGTTGAGACGTAGGAATTGGCTGGGCTGAGGATCTGTGACTTTCTGCCAAATCCTACCAGCAGTACAACTTCAAGGCGGTTTATGTCTACCAAGTTCAATAAACCTCAGCTGGCTGAAACCTTTGCAATGTGAATGTCAAAGGCTAATGTAAACAGAATAGATTTTAGGGCATCTAAAGCTCTGGTTACTCATCCCTTAGCCTTTGTGTGCAAGGATTAGAACGCAGGGCTTTATGAATGCAAGTTCTCTACCTTTGAGTTATATACCTAGCCCAAGTCTTCTTTTGCTCTCCTTCCCTCTCCGTCTTTCTGGTTAGTTGGAATTTCACTGTTGTTTGGTTTGGAGAGATAATTTCAAACTGTACCGTTGACTGGCCTGCAGCTTGCTAGGTAGACAGACCAAGTTGGTCTCAAGTACTCTGCCGTCTCCTGATCTACCTTGTGGATGCTGGGGTTACAGACGTGTACCGCCCATACCCAGCCCTCCTCTAATTTCTTCAGTCTTTGGAGTAGTTGGGATTACAGATGTATGCTGTCACACCTGGCTTGAGCTGCCTTCCTTCTCCTCCTTTTCCTCCTCTTCCTCTTCTTTTTCTTCTTTATGTAGTAAACTGAGAATTATCACTATTTTGGGGAACTAAGATACAGATGTGAGGAAGACAGAAGCCATCTGGAGGCCCTAGTGTAAGGATGGACACTTTTCTTACCCCCCCATGTCCTGCCGTCTTTCTTTCTTCCTTCCTTCCTTCCTCCCTTCCTCCCTTCCCTTCCCTTCCTTCCTTTTCTCTCTCTTTTTTAAAAATTACTTTTGTGTGTACGTCGGCCCATGTGGTTCTATGCATTCAACAGTGTGCATGTAGAGCTCAGAGAACAACCTCTAAGACTTTGTTTTCTCCCACTTTGTGGATATGAGCATCAAATTCAGCTCATCAGGCTTGGCCAAAAGTACCTGTATCCTCTGAGTCATCTTTGCCAGCCCTGTCTGTTTATTTCTTGAGACAGGACCTCATATAATCCATGATGGCCTCAAACTTGTTATATAGCTGAGGCTGCCCCTGTACTCCTGATCTTACCATAGCCCCCCCCCCAAGTGCTAGGACTACAAGCGGAGTCATCACATCCAGCTTTGTCCTGTCACCTTCTGAGATCATTACAGCTATGGTGAATGTTTGTCCCAGTCCTGGGGTAACCAAGACAGAAGAGAACATGCCCCAAGGGAAGGTGGCTATGTACTAGAAACCAGTGCTAGGAAGGCAGGCATGAGACAAGCTTCCCCTAGGCATCAGACTGTGTCTGCCCTCTCTAAGACCTTCCTTCTTTTCTAGGAAGAGGAAGCAGTTGTTATCTTTCCTAGAATGGGAGGGCTTCTAACCTGCCCTTAGGGTCATCTTTACTTTCTGGTTCAGCTGCTCTAAGACCAGATAGCTCCAGGAGAAAGGGGAATGCAAAGCGGCAGGGCTACTAACTCCATCTGCCCACCAGGCCGTCATTTCTCTTGGAAGCTGTGACTAGGGAAAGAGGTGGAAGATTGGGGAACAGCACAGAAGCTGGACTTGAGGAAAGTCTTGGGATTGGTTAGTGGGTTAACATTCCATTTAAGGGTTTGCTTTAATTTGGTTCTTTTGAAACAGTTTTGCTAGTTTAGCTCAGGTGTGTCTTGAACTCACTATGCAGCCCAGGCTGGCCCCAAACTCAAAATCCTCCTGTCTCAGCACTCTGAATATTGGAATCACAAGTACCACCATGCCCCGCTGCTATGCCATTCCAAATAAGTGGAGCTGGCTATGGTGATGCACACCTTCACTTCTTGGGTGTGTCCTGAGGAGGCAGAGGCAAGAAGATCTCCGAGTTCAAGGTCAACCAGTCTACAGAGCAAATTCCAGGATGGCCAGGGCTATACAGAGAAATCCTGTCTTAAAAAAAAAAAGAAAGGGAGAGAGAGAGAGAGAGAGAGAGAGAGAGAGAGAGAGAGAGAGAGAGAAAGAAGGTAGGCTATGAGCTCCTCGTGTTACTCAGTAGAAGAGCAATTGGCAAGCATGTGGGGTCGGAGCCCCAGCAACCCAAAAGAAAAATACAGTTTCTAGAAAGGAAATGGTTAATTTGTTCTGGAGGTGGGATCTCCAGTATCCCACACTGGCCCTGAACTTGCTAAGTAGCCATAGATGATCTTAAATCTCAGTTCTTGCCAGGCAGTGGTGGCGCACGCCTTTAATCCCAGCACTTGGGAGGCAGAGGCAGGCGGATTTCTGAGTTCGAGAGTTTGAGGCTAGCCTGGTCTACAGAGTGAGTTCCAGGACAGCCAGGGCTACACAGAGAAACCCTGTCTCAAAAAAACCAAAAAAAAAAAAAAAAAAATCTCAGTTCTTCCTGTCTCTACCTGCCAGCTGCTGGGATTGAAAGTGTGGGACAACACACTCAAAAGCAAGATCAAACCAGGCCTTCATGCACACGAGGCAAACACTCTACCCAATTAAGCGCTGTCTCCAGCCCTGCAAAGGAAAAGGTTATTAGAACACCTTGCAGTGTGGAGGTTGGGCACTTCGGGCAACTGGAGTCTGAATGCTTGGCTCAGAGAAACCTTCCTCCACTACCCCAGCTAGTGCAGTGGCCTTGGGCATGTTACCAAACTTCTATATCCACTTCCTCATCTATACAATGAAGTGACAGTCTTAACTCCCCTCCCCCCACACGTACTTTGCTTAGAGCAGTACATCTAGTATCCTAAAAAAAAAAACCCTCCCAATCCCTTTAGGGTACAGTGGTGTAATTTTCAATAAGGTTAATACGTTAACTTCACCGTCACTTCAAGCCTGTGCCAGAGACTTCTACATTTAGCGTCTCGGGCACTCTGTAGCTAAGGATGGGCGACTGAGTTTATCAAGAGAAAGGTAATCATGAAACATTTAAAGAAAGATAATGATCGGTCACTGTTTATGTCACCACCTGGCAGACATTAGTCAGAAACGAGAGAAAATGGCAAAAGCCAGGGCTTATCTGTAACAGTGGTGTATCAGGGAAACCAGGAGTATTAGACACAAAATGGACCTCAGGACTGCTGGCGATGAAAAAAAAAAAATGGTAATTAGGCGGGCCTGGAGATGTTTTAGCAGGTAAGAGCACTGACTGACTGCTCTTCCAGAGGACCCAGGTTCAAGTCCCAGCACCCACATGGCAGCTCACATCCCTCAGTAACTCCATTTCTAGAGGATCTGAAAGTATGTACATGGTGCATGCATATACATGCAGGCAAAACATCCATCACATATAAATATTTTTCTTTAAGTGGTGAAGGGGAGGGCGGAACTACAGTGTTGGTTTGTTGGTTAACAGCACTTACTACTCTTGCAGAGGACCCAGGTCTGGATCCCAGCACGCACTTGGTGCTATACAACTGCCTGCAACTCCAGTTCCAAGGGAGCCAGTTCTCTCTTCTGGCTTCCGAAAGTACCAGGCATGCATGTGGTATACACACACACATCTTTCATCAACAACAAAATGGTGGTGGGTCCAGGTAGCAAGCGGGGTTCCAGCACTCCAGAGGCTAACTGTGAGATAGGGAGTTGGTCTCCAGAGTACATAAGGAGGGCAACTTCCTTTCAAAAGGGAAGTTGGGAATGAGGGCGCACATCGAAAGTCATCTCTCAGGAAGTAGAGGTAGTCGGAGACCACCCTAGTCTACAGAACAAGTGTCTATCTCGAAAGAGGAGTGGAGGAAGGAGAGAGAGGAAAGAAGAGAAAAAAGAAGAGGAGGAGGGAGAGGAAGGAAAAGAAGAGGAGGAGGAGGAGTGGGAAGACAGGAGGGGAAAGAGGAAGGCGAAGCATTGATAGGTTCAAGGCGCAACTCACGTTGGTAAAGCTTTGAATGGCCTTAGAGAACTCCCCGCACAGATAAAGCCTCTCGCCCTCTGCCACGTAAGAGGGAAAGGTGCTTCTCAAGATATCAGCTTCGCCGTCAGACATGGTCACCCGACTTTTGGAAATTGTGAAGCAGATCCAGAAAGGGAAAGAGGGTGGAGAATCACCGGCTTGGTTTGTGGCAGCCTGGTCTCTTAGCAACCCAGAGAGCTACTCTAACTTCCGGTCCCTCCCCTCCCCTGGCGGTGTTAGGATCCCGGGTGAGCCTGCCTAGTGTGCTCATGCGCCTGTGTCGCCACGCTGAGCACACCGGTCAGACAAGTGCTGAGCGCGTGGCCGGCGGCTGCAGGGCGGTGGCGCTCCAGAGTGATCACTGTTGCTCATAGGTTGCTTCTCCCCGCCAGTTGCCACGTGGAAAGTCTCTCAGACAAAGCAAGCCAAGAAAAGAGAATTGGAGGCAAAATTCCAAGTAGGATTTAAGGCTTAAATGCCCCAGGTCCCATCAGGAAAGAGAGAATTTTGGACTTGGAGTCAGAGGGCTTGGGCAGCCTTCTCTCTTGTCACTTCCTAGCTGCGTGATCCTTGACCAAGCACATTAGGGAACTGAAAAGCACATGTCCTACCTGCCAAATGAGCATGAAAATAATAGAGCCCCCAGGGACCTGAGGATTTGCATGAGAATGCAACGGAAATTGTGATGGGTTTAGTTGAAAATTTCACATATTTATTGACCACTTGCTAATAGCAAGTCTGAACTAACATCTACCCTGACGTCATTCTCCACCGATTCAGCACTACCACAAACAAACAAACAAAAGACTAATGACTGTGGAGATAACAGATAACTCAGCTGATAAGACTTGCCAAGCGCTCTCTACCTCAATTCTACCAAACCTGGTACAGTCCAGTGTGATGGCACCAGCTTGTATTAGCCACCCCTAGAGAGACAGAAACAGGTACGTCCCTGGAGTGTCCTCTGGCATCCACACTCACATGTGCCAAAGCACATGCTTTTTCACACACATTTAAAAAAGTAGTACCAAGCTGGGCAGTGGTGGCACACGCCTTTAATCCCAGCACTTGGGAGGCAGAGACAGGTGGATTTCTGAGTTCGAGGCCAGCCTGGTCTACAAAGTGAGTTCCAGGACAGCCAGAGCTACACAGAGCTGTCTTGAAAAACAAAAACAAACAAACAAAAAGAACATAAACAAAAACAAAACCAAAAAAAACCAAAACAAAATAAAAGTTACAAAAAAAAAAGTAGCGCCTCCAAGTTCCCATAATACCTCGAAACGCGATCTGTAGAATGTCCCGTAAGGATACCTTTTTTTTTTTTTTTTTTTTTTTTGTCCCCCAAAGGGATTGTGACTTAATCAGGAACTTTGTCTTTTTTAAAAATTTGCTGGTGGGGATTTTTTTTTTAAAATATTTACTCATTTCATTTTATACGTGAGTGTTTTGGCTGCATGTATGTATACCATATGCATGCTTGGTGCCTATGGAGACCAGAAGAGGGTACTGGATCCCCTGGAACTGGAGTTACATGTAATTTTGAGCCACCATTTGGGTGCTAGGATGCTAGGAGTCGAACCTGGGTGTTCTGCAAGAGCAACCAGTGCTCTTAACCCTTGAGTCATCTCTCCAACCCAGAATCTTGTCTTATAAACTGTCTTTCCAGAATTCAGCTGAGCCAGGCTTGGTGGCCTGGGTCTTTAATTTTCTTACTCCAGAGACAGAGATAGGAGATTCTTGATGAGATCTAGGCTTCCTGGTCTCCATTACAAGTTCCAGGCCTGCCCTGGCTACTTGTGAGCCTCAAACACAAAACTAGAAACAGAATCCAGCTGAGTGGCATATATTAGGAATAGAATTGGGCTGGAGAGATGGCTCCGAAGTTAAGAGCACTGACTGCTCTTCCAGAGGTCCTGAGTTCTATTCCCAGCAACCACATGGTGGCTCAGTAACATCTGTTATGGAATCTGATGCCCTCTTCTGGTGTGTCTGATGACAGCTACAGTGTACTCATATATAATAAATAAATGAACCTTAAAAAAAATGAACAGAGTCCAGCTGATTGGCACACAGTAGGAGCAAAACAAAACCATTTTTAGTCTTTAAAAAAGATGTCCTTACTAGCAAATGTATAAACACAAATGAACACAAGACCTATAATTCCAGCACTTGAGAAACTGAAGCAGGAAGATTGCCACAAGTTCAAGACCGCCTCAGGTTACATAGTGAGTTGAAGGCCAACCCAAGTAACAGGGGAGTCTCTGTCTCAAACCACCATAACTGATTACTTAGAAAAACGTGGTGAAATCACAGAATTCCATTAGTGTCAATTCCCTTTGGTTGTAGTTTTTAAAAGTTTTTCAAGATTACCATTGGGGGGAAATGATAAAGGGATATCTAACCCAGGTTTGGTTATGGTGGTACACACAGCCGGTCCCAGGCTATAGAAAGAGGGTGGCCTGGAGCTCGAGGATAGCCAGGGCTACTTAGCAAGGCTTTATATCAAAAGGAAAACAAAGCTAAGCAAACAAGAATACACAAGATTCCTTGATATCAGTTCTACACTAATCTGCAGTTTGATTTAGAAGATGGCTGTCTTTTGGGGGGCTGGGGAGATGGCTCAGTGATTGAAAGTGTGTGCTGCTCATGTACTGGATCAGTGTTTGGTTCCCAGCATCCATGTCTGGTGGTTCACAGTCCCCTGCAGTCCCTGTGAAACCTGATGCCGCTGGCCTCCCAGCACTTCTGCCCTTGAATCTTCAGCCTTTAAGAGTCCAGGGAGCCGGGTACTCACCATGTGATGCCACTCAGAAGTACTCACCGTGTTATGCCATTACAAGGTAGATTTTTGCCGGGCAGTGGTGGCGCACACCTTTAGTCCCAGCACTTGGGAGGCAGAGGCAGGTGGATTTCTGAGTTCCAGGCCAGCCTGGTCTACAGAGTGAGTTCCAGGACAGCCAGGACTACATAGAGAAACCCTGTCTCGAAAAACCAAAAAAAAAAAAAACAGCCCAGGGAGCCCGGCAGTCGTGGTGCACGCCTTTAATCCCAGCACTTGGGAGGCAGAGG